CATCACATCTGAGTTTGAAGAAAGCAGTGATGACTTCTGCTTACATCCTGTCAGCCACGTTGTAGCTTTTTTAAAAAATGGAATGGTAAAGTTTATTCAAGAAAACAAAATGGAGAGTGAAAGAGAAACTGGCTCTGCAGAGTGGGCTAAGAGTGAGTACATATGATAAAAGGGAGCAAGCAAAGATCAGAGTACACACTGCATCTGAGAGACAGTGTGGCTGTCATGGAAAGTCACGGTAGCCCAGGCTGTGGTCTTGTGGCAGACCCTGCTGCAGAAAATATGGGGAACTGTGGTCATCCTTTAATCTTGGCATCCAGATGTTTCATTCGATAGTAGTTCTGTGTGAACGGAGGAGGAAGAGAGTGGAGATGGGTGAGCAGCTATGGTCTCTGCCACATTTAGGAGTGTTATTCCCCCAACAGGCTGTAAGATTTCAAGGTAACATGACAAAAAATTAAATTATACTTAAATATAAAAATTAGAATGTGAAAAAAATTTAAAAAAATTAGAATGTGAGCATCTCACCAGGTGTGGTGGTGCACGCCTATAATCCCAGCGCTCTGGGAGACTGAGGCAGGAGGATCGTAAGTTCAGCTTCACCTGGGCAAATTAGTGACTTAGTGAGCCCCCTGACTTCACGGTACTTTACAAAGGGAATGTGAAACTCTCCGCTGGTTTCTCCACTCAGGTCTACCTTGAGCGACCTGAGAGCTGCCCAGGGACAGGACTGAGCGCTCTGGTTTCCTATGTCATCTGCACAGAGCTCCCGAGAAAGAGGCTTGTCACATAACGCGACTTGCTTCCTCGCCCCCCAGGAAGAGGAGCGGTTGAAGGGCTCTGGTGTGACAGTGACAGCGTGGTAGGGACTGGCATTGCTCACAGGGTCTGTAGCTGACAGCCAGTGTGGGTCACTGTGAGAGCACTTTACCTGAGGCACTGGCACCTTGCCAGGCACCTCTTGTTCGGCAGTGCTTGGTGCTCGGCTCTTAGCAACATGGGATGGTTCACTGGGCTCACTCTCCTCAGGTTTGGCACCTCTAGGTCTTGGGGTCAGTAGCTAGCAGTGTCTGAGGGTGCAGGGGGACAGCCGTCCAGGTAACTGCCTGGGTAGATGTCGAGCAAGCAGAGACAGCAGCCTCCGCAGCTCTGTGAGCCCTGTTTTGGGTGGGAGAGTGGGTGCCCGGGCTCCTGCTGTGGCTGTGCCTACAGGGGATGGTGTGGTGGCGCCCCATCCTGCCGTCCAGGCCACTTTTCTCGTGCAGAGCGCTCCTGCAGTCATCCCCTTGGCTGCCCCTGGCCGCTGTGTTTCTGGAATGTGTTGTATCTACTCCTCAGATGTCCGCCTCATCCCTCTCAGGGTTTGAAGCAGCCCTTGTAGTCCACGTCAGCCTCCGGCCTGAGGCCTCGGGGCTCATCCTCGTCAGTAGGCCAGGTATCCCTGTCTCCATCTGAGTGGTTTTCTCACTCATCCTTAGAGTTTCCTGTTTTAGTCTGCAGCCAGGTCCCTGCGAGCCACCTCTCTGGCGGGAGGATTCTGAATGTAAATACATCTGGGAAAAGGCATCCTGTCCCCCAGAGTTTCCTGTTTTAGTCTGCAGCCAGGTCCCTGCGAGCCACCTCTATGGCGGGAGGATTCTGAATGTAAATACATCTGGGAAAGGCATCCTGTCCCCAGAGTCTTCCAACCGGCAGGCCGCCTCCTGATCAGGCCTGTGGCTTTCTGTTTGTCTTGTGGCTTTGAGCTAGGGATCCTGAGGCCCAGCAGTCCTGTCTACACCTGTGGGCTCATCACAGTGCCGCAGGTTTTGAGATGCACCTTTATCCATTTTTCTTGAGGTAGACGTGGGCATGTCTTGCTGCTATGAAAGAAGTTTCTAGCTGGGTGTGGTGGTGCACACCTGTAATCCCAGCACTGGGGAGGCTGAGTCAGTGCCGAGGTCCCAAGGCCCCAAAGTCTAGGTGGGAGAAGGAGGAATCCGCCAGGACTTCTTTTATTATTATTTGTGATGCGGCTCATACTGTGTTGCCCAGGCTGGTCTCAAACTCCTGGGCTGAAGAGATTCTCTTACTAGGTGAGTGTGGTTGTCCACACCAGTAATCCCAGTAGCGAGGTTGAGGCGGGAGGATCACCATGAGTTCCAGGCCAGCCTGGGTTACATAGTGACTTTAAGAGCAGCCAGAGCTGTATAGTGAGACTTTTTCTCAAAGCAAAACAACAAAAAACAAAAACACATTTCTAGGAGCCAGGACTTGAGCTTTATTTCCAGGGTCTGTGGAGTCTTAGGCTAGAACTGATGACCGTAGGTCTTGTACACCTTCTGCCTTTAGTTCGGTTAGTATCTTGGTGCCACTCAGGTTATAGTAGCCTTTGTTTTTTTTTCTTTTTCTTTTTTTTTTTTTTTGGTACTAGGAACCGAGCTCAGGACCTTGCACTTGCTAGGCAAGCGCTTGTGCTACTGAGCTCTATCCCCAGCTCAGCCTTTGTGACTGAAGGTGGCAGGGGCTGTATGTCAGCTGGACTATTGTCAGCTAAGTGGGCTGCCCAAGGTTCTTTGCAGTCCAGAGCTGCCTGTCCCCAACAAACAGCAGAGTCCTGATTGAAAACAATTACTGTGCCTTGTTGCCAGAGGGAGTAAGCTTCCTGCAGATTGTCCTTGTGTCCTTGTGTCCTGTGATGGTGAGCAGTGTTTCTGGAAACCCCTTAGACTGGGGTTAGTTGTAGCTAGTTCGTGGCAGAAAATAGCTGGGTCGGAGTTGTACTTGGCTAAGTATTTATTGGTAGGTATGGGCAGTGACAGTCACTTGTCCCTGTCTTCCTTGGCATGTTCTATCCTGGTCCTGATCTGTTGGTTTCTGAACCTGTCCTCTTGTAACCCTGTGTGTCACTGCAGGCTCCTTTACCCAAAGACACCTTTGGGTAGCTTCCCGCCCAACACTGGGGTAGAACCAGGCAGCATGTCTTTTTTTCTTATCTGTCCACACCAGTAATCCCAGTAGCGAGGTTGAGGCAAGAGGATCACCATGAGTTCCAGGCCAGCCTGGGTTACATAGTGACATTCAGATAGGGTCTTGCTATGTAGTTGACTAGCCCAGGTTAGCCTCAAAGTGGTGATCCTCCTGCCTCAGCCTCTTGAGTACTGGATTACAGGTGTGACACCACCATGCCCCGTCTTGCTGAGGCCTTCAGGAGTCCTGGGAAGGCCTGGTTGGGGGAAGTTGCTGGGATTTGGGGCTCACATTTGCAGTCTGCTGCCCGTACCACACTCTTCCAGGCTGTTTGTGCCCCACCCCCATCCCCTGCACCTGGCACAGCCCAGCTTGGTCACGTAGTGGGTTAACCAGACTGAGCCATCTGAGACCTGTGATTTCCCCCCAGAACCGCTGCCCCCAGAGGTGGGGAGCTGGCTTGCACTTGTCATTTGGCCCTGGGGACATGAACGCTCATGTGGCCGCAGATCACTGATTGCTTTGCTGGTGTCTGAAGGGTGGGGTGCAGGTGGGCTGACTTGACCTTTTGGGAGGAGCACGTGGAGGTGGCAGTGAAGCATTGTGTCCCCTGAGTTGTGCCCACTGCTGGGCTGATGAGGCGCAGCAGCGGCAGCGTGGCTCCGAGCGTGTATCTTGGGTGGCGGCTGGATTCTTCTCAGACTCTGGCCCCGCGTTTGAGCCCTGCTCCAGTTAATGCTGTGTGAGTTTGGCCCCGTGCCACCCCATGATCCTCTCGGTGTGGTCCATGGTGTCTGCTGTTCCCTAGCTGAGTAGGCAGGTTAGATGAGAGCCTGGATTCTGAGTTTCCCCCAGTCTTGCTTCCTGAAATCAAGGGTACTGTATACCTGCTTTAGCACAGGCACTCTTGAGACAGTCCAGACAGTTGTTTTTTTTTTTTTTGGTTTTTTGAGACAAGGTCATGCTGTGTAGCTCAGGCTGGCCTCAAATATCTGATCCCCCTGCCTGTGCTTCCTGGGAGTACAGGTGTGCACCACTGCGCCTGGCTGAGATTTGCTTTTCAAAGAGGGGTTTCTTCCCCGCCCCAGTAAGTCTTCAAGTACATTATTGACAAGCACCAGTCTTGCTGCTATCAGGCCTTGAAGAATGAAATTTTATCCCAACCTTCTTACTATCCTGTCACAAGATGTCCCCCCTTTGCTAGTTTAGCTCTCAAGATGTGGCACCCTGCTTTGACCTGCACTCTCTAGGTCCCAGGTGTTGTGAGCCTGCTGTCTGTCTGTCCTAATCCTGTTCGTGGACTCTGCCTGGGGCCTTTCCTCAGGACCATAGCTGGTGACACACCACATACCTTGTTTTGAGTGGCCATGTGATCATTTTATGAGTGACCCATGCAGTCTTATTTTCTGCTATAAACTTGTTTATGTGCAGATACTCACATAGGAGAATTAGGTTTATAAAAATATTACACTTGAACAACATCAAGAAGCCTTGTCTGAAGCCAGCTGTGGTGGCTCACACTTGTAACCTATGTACTCTTCAGAGGCTAAGGCGGGAGGATCAGACCCAGCCTGGACAATGTAGCAACTTAATGATACACTGTCTCAAAATAAAATAAATTGGGGATGTAGCTGGTGGGAAGGCTTTGGGATCAATCCCCAGTTCAGGGGGTAAAAAAAGAATCCTTGTTGGATGTAATACAAATACGAATCTTGTTTTTTTTGGTTTATAGGTTTGGTTAAAAAAAAAAAAAAAACTAACTTCATTTCATTTTCAGTTATTTGTTCTACAGAAGTAGAAGTCTTATCTTCATTTAAATCATCAGGTTGTTTCCCTGTGATTGCTTTCATTACTTGTGAAACTTCAGGTTATAAGGACTCGAAGGCCTGGTACTCCCTGATCCCAGGAATGCTGGAGATAGCTGGAGAGGGTGAAATGAACCACATCCATGAGGCCCCTCTAGCCCTGGGACCTGACAGCGCCACTTTTGGACACCCTGTGGTTTATGTATTACAGGCTGGGCGGGCCCAGGCCGGGGCTGGTCCTTACCCTGGGAAAGAAGCTCAATGCAGCCCTCTGTGGAGACTGCCCGCCTCACACTGCTTTTCTTTCCAGCTCTTGCCAGCCCTGTCGCAGACCTGAGAAAATGCTCCGGAGGCTCGGGGGTGCTGTGCCAGGACCTCAAGACGGCGGCGGACTGCGGGGCGGTGCGGCACTGCCAGCAGACTGTGTGGAGCAAGCCCACAGTGGTGAGCCTGGAACTGGTGGTGGCGCGCTTTCTAGCCTGTCTCTCTGGGCTGCTCTTGTCACTGTGTGTGGGTGTGGCCGTTTTGCCATCCAGGATACCTGGCTCTTGGTGGCAGAAATAGCCTGAAGTCCTCTATGCCCTGCCTTCAAGGCCTGTCTGCAGGTCTCACCTACCACTTCTGAGAGCCTTCTTCCCTCCTCCCAAATAGGCAGGCCACTGACTGCGATCCTAGCACTCAGGAGCTACTAAGGGTTTCTTTTTTGAGACAGGATCTTACTATGTAGATCAGGCTGGTCTTGAGCTCACCATGTAGCCCAGATTGGTCTCAAACAAACTCACAGCAATCCTCCTACCTTCGCCTCCCCCGTGCTGGGAGTACAGACAGGCATGTGCTGCCACCTCTGGCTCATTATTGCCAGTTTCCAACTGTAAGCACACTGGGAAAGATAGCACGGGTTTTCATCTGAAGGTAACGAGGGCCTCTGCAACAGTGTATGTTCCCATGCATCCTGAAGCGCCTGGGTTTGAGCCCTGTTGACCCTGCAGGATGCAGATCTGCTCTTGGCTTGCTCTGGGCTGTTTTTGACTGAGTGCAGTTTATTTTATTTTTATTTTTTAAATTTTCTTTTTTTTTTTTTTTTGTCTTTTTGAAACAGGGTCTCACTATGCAGTTCAGGCTGGCCTTGGGCTCACTTTATAGCCAGCTGGTCTCAAACTCCCAACAATCCTCCTACCTCAGCTTCCTGAGTTCTGGGATTACAGGCATGTGCCCCCACGCCCAGCTTGAGTGCAGTTTAAGCTCTGATTTTGTGCATCTTTAGGAAGAGAAGAAAACTTGATTAAACAATGCTGCTCTTTCGTCAGATAGTTTCTAAATTACTGGAAATTTCCTTCCGTGGTCATAACTACTTTCAGATTTGGTTTCTGATCAATATTCAGTCTTGTTCTGAATACTGATTCCTTTGTCCAAGTTGAATGTAGACTGAATGAGGATGTGAGGACTTTTCTATTTTCTTTTGGGTTTTTGGAAACAGGGTCTCAGTATATATGTCAAGATTGCCTCGAACTATATTTTCTAGGCTGGTCTTGTGATCCTCCTGCCTCAGTCTCTTGAAGTTCTCAACTTTTTTCTTTTTTTTTTTTTTGGTACCGGGAATTGAACTCAGGACCTTGCACTTGCCAGGCAGGTGCTTGTGCCAGTGAGCTATATCCCTGGCCCCCTGCCTCAGCCTCTTGAGTGCTGGGTTACGGCAGTGCTTCACCAGGCCTGGCCTGAGGACTTGCTTGACTCGTCTCGAGGCTCAAGCTTGCTCCTGTTATGGTCTCACACAGTGTCAGCCTGGCTAGGTCTAAAGGTTCCATTTGGTTTCCCTGCATGCTAACAGGGCTAACTTACCACTTTGGCACTTGGCCTGAGGGCATCACAAGAAGCAGCAAGTCTCCATCCTGTGCAGCCTCAAAACTGCAAAAGTGAAAGACTTTGCTTTGAGGAGAAAGCCGCAGAGCGCCTTGTTCCAGAATGGCAGCGGCGTAGAGAATTTGTTCCTCAGAATTTGATTCTGAGTGCCCAATGATCCAGGAACTTGACCCCTATAGCCAAGAGAGTGGAAAGCAAGTCCAAAATCCAGCAGGGCCAGCATTAATTCTTGTAGTTCCCTGTACAGCATCCAAGGCAGCAGCCCTTGGCACATTGTGAGCTCCAAAGGGCTTGGATGGCTCTACCCCTGAGGCACTTCTGGTGGTAGGAGCTTTCATGGCCTCTCTTTTGGGCCTGCTTTGCTCCCTTCTTGCAGCTTTCCTTAGATGATCCACTTTCCTGGCTTTTCCAGACTTCTGGGCTCTCCCTTGCAACTTTGGCTACACACAACATCACACATTCCTCTCAGGGTCATACCACCTGTCTCCCAGGCCTTCTGAAATCAGGATGGAAGTGTTCTTAACCTCACAACTCTTGCATTCTCCATGCACCTAAAACCAGCGCCACATGGATGATGCCAGGGTCTGCTGCTAGCTGGAGCAGTAGCCAGGCTTTCTGCTCTCTTGGCTATAGGGGTCAAGTTCCTGGATCATTGGGCACTCGGAATCAAATTCTGAGAAACAAATTCTCTACGCCGCTGCCATTCTGGAACAAGGCGCTCTGCGGCTTTCTCCTCAAAGCAAAGTCTTTCACTTTTGCAGTTTTGAGGCTGCACAGGATGGAGACTTGCTGCTTCTTGTGATGCCCTCAGGCCATCTTTTCTATTCTGTCCCTTTTCAGCAATCAAGATCTCCTCTGCTCTGTCTTTGCAGTCCACAGCTTTACTGAAGCTTCTCTTCTGGCCAGACTCAGTGTTTTAAGTCATTCTTTTAGGCTCTGTGCTCTTGATTTGCGACATAAGTCTGGCTAAAAGCCCCCAACAATAGCCGTGCCACAGCCTCAGCATTCAACTGCCTTGAAATTTCTTCTGCCAGATGAGTCTACTGCCTTTAATCTGTCTCAGGGAATATCTCTGGACACAAGCAAAATGCAGACATACTTTCTGCCAAGCCATAACACATCATCTGGAAACCTGAGCCTGGTCTTTACCAGCAGGATTTCTCTCAGTCTTCTGGTCTTCTGAGCTCTGACCAGAATCTCCCATACAGAACAGGCTGAGGTGTTCCAGCTGTACTCTTTTAGCTGGCATCTCCGAACCTTTCCAAACTTTTCCCACAAGCCATTCCCAAAGGCTCTTGAATCTTGAAGCAGGCGGTCAGGTATAGTCACAGCAGTGACTCCACTCCTGGTACCAAATTCTTAGTTACTTTCAGTTGTTGCTGAGACAAAATACCTAACACCTAAAATTAAAGAAGGAAAGGTTTACTTAGCTTACAGTTTGTAGAGGTTTCAGTCCATAATCACCGGGTTTGAAGGCAGGGTGGCATGGCACAGGGGCAACGGTTCTAGGTAGCAGAAGACAGCAAAAGCAACAAGAGCAAGAAGGTGGCAGGTGTAGGGCAAGCCTTCTGTCCTCCCTTATATTGTAAGCTGGCTATCCCATCATCCCATCCCCACCCCACTGTAGCACTCATCCCATCTCCTTGCCTTCCTCCTCTTGCAGAGGCTGAGGATGTTTATAAAGTGAGGACCTTGGCTCCCTGCTGAGTGGCTTAGTTAAACTTCTAAACTTCTCAAGTTGACACAGTATATCAATCATTACAGGGCAGAAGTTAGTTGACACCAAGGAGGGAGCCTGTGCCTGCCTGCCCCAGTTCCACAAGCACCAGCTGGAGTTCCTAGGGCTCCCGCCCTGGGTGGCACCCAGCCTTATCAGGAGGCTGGCTTTGGGGAGTGTCCCTGTGGTGCACACAGCACTGCCTTGGAGCATAAAGTAGATCAAGGCCAGTGACTGGCTGGCCCTGACTCCGTGAGCCACCCACTTGGAGCTGTGCTAAGTCTGTTGTGTTGCGTTCCTGAGCTGTTCTCTCAGGCACCACATGCGGGACAGGAAGGGGTGGGGGTCAGTCACATCCATCTTCCCGTTATCCCGTACTCATGGAGGTGGGCGCCAGGACAGAGTGTAGGACTGGCCTTGACGCCCGCCCTGGGCAGATAAGAGTGGGGAAGGGCCTTAGGGTCCGCAGCTGTGTCTCGTGTGAGTGGTGTCCCGCAAGCACAGATCTTTCTCCCTTGTGTTTCCATTTAGAAATCCCTCCCATGTGACATATGCAAACAGGTGGTCACTGTGGCAGGCGACCTGCTGAAAGACAACGGCACTGAGGTGAGCTACTGTGGTGGGTTGCTGTGGCTGAGGCCTGGTGCCCTGGTTCCTGGGAGAGCTCTGACTTGGGGCCAGAGAGGTGTGACCAGGCCAGGTTGCCACCGTCTTTACACCTGTGAAGTGCCGTACATGGTCTCCATCACATAGTCTTTCTTTCCTTCTGTCTGTCTGTCTGTCTGTCTGTCTTTTTGAGACAGAGTCTCACTATGCAGTTCAGGCTGGCCTTGAGCTCACTTTGTAGCCCAAAGGTCTCCTGGTCTTGAGCTCTCATTGATCCTCCTGCCTCAGCCTCCCAAGTGCTGGGATTACAGGCATGCGCCACCACACCTGGCTTTTTTTTTGGTTTTTTGTTCATCACATATTCTTTAGGAAGTATTGTTCACTCTAGACTGTACAAAAATCAGCTGAAGGGACTAATTTGCTGACCTCTGGCCCAAATATAAAATGCTCAGGGTTAATTGGGATTTTACGTTGCATGCCATTAACGTGAGGAAGTGTGTGGTTATCACTTTCGCTTTTTCTGCTCAGAATTCCTTGTCTCTGAGGCTGTAGGTCACAGGGTCTTCATTTTTATTTACTTTTTTTGAGATATGGTCTTGCTATGTAACTCAGGCTGGCCTTGAACTCACTATGTGGCCCAGGCTGGCCTTGAACTCAGGGCAGTCCTCTTGCCTCAGCCTCCCAAGTGCTGAGATTATAGGTTGTCATGTGCAACCACACCCAGCCTCATTTTGAATTTTCATGTCTGATTTTTAAAATTTTTTTTTTTTTTGGCCTATTTTTGCTGATGGAGACCAGGATTATCAAGAACTAGCTACTGTCTTTTTTTTTTTTTTTTTTTTTTCTGGTACCAGGAATCGAACTCAACCTTGCGCTTGCTAGGCAGGCGCTGTGCCACTGAGCTAAATCCCCAGCCCCTCTACTGTCTTTAAAAAATTTTTTTTGAGACAGGATAAGTTGCCCAGTCTGGCCTAGAACTTCCCATCCTCCTGCCTCAGCCTCGCAGGTGGATGGGGTTACAAATACGTGCCACTGTGCCTGGGTCTCTGCCCTCCTTTTTCCTGAGGGCTGACTTTTTGGGCTTGTGCTTTCTGGACGTTACAGAGGGCACCCTGCCCTCAGCCCCCACGGGGAGGAAGCCCTTCCTGCTTTGACCCTTGCCTTGTCCCTTGTTGTCCCCTTCAGGAGGAGATCCTCTCTAACCTGGAGAAGGTCTGTGACTGGCTCTCGAACCCCAACCTGTCATCCTCATGCAAGGAAGTGGTGGACTCCTACCTGCCTGTCATCTTGGATATGATTAAAGGAGAAGCGGTAGGTGATGGGCACGCACTCTTCCGCTAGGGCACGTCCCGGGCCCCAGGAGGTCACCCCCTGCCAAAGGCTGGAATTGAAAGCGTGTTCATAGCTTTGGGGTTCTGCAGCTCCTCGTGTGGTTCTGCCAGTCCTCCAGTACCTTGCCAGGGTGTCATGGTGGAGGCCCAGCACAGGGGCGGGGAGAATTGCTGAAGGTCATCTGTCCCTGAGTGTGTTCATAGATGCCAGCTGGGTGACTCATGTACTGAGCTCAGTGAGGAGACAGTGAACAAGAAAGTGGCTCCGTGTCTCTTGAGTCCTGTGAGTCACAGTTCAGGGTAACTCGGGGTGAGCCGCAGGGGCGCTTGTCTTCCAGTGCGGTGTGGATGCAGGCCGGGCACTAATCTGGAGCGACCTGGGGAGGAGAGCTGCGTAAGCAGCGGTAGGGCCGGTCCCGCAGGAGTGTCCGGGACTGGACGGAGGTGCTGGGAGGAGGCCTTCGAGGCTCTGTTCAAGGGCAGCGAAACCTGTGGAGTGACAGGGAGTAGGGTGGCAGGCCTCCAGGTCACTTTCCAAGGGGATCACTTTCCAAGGGGGTCCCTTAGCTCCCAGGGTTGAGAGCTGCCACAGGGGACACCCAGAGGTTATGGCCCTGTGAGGAGACACGGACAGGGGAGATGGACGCACGGATGTTCTGCTGTGGAGGGAACAAGAGGAGTGACAGGAACGGGGAGTGTTGGGTGTCTCCTGGTCTCGGGGAGGTGCTGGTGGAGCCATGTGCTGAAGTGGAGCTGGGGGGAGTGGTTGGGCTGCAGCAGGGGGAGACATTTGAAACCAGTGGGCTGCGGGAGCTCGTGGGGCTGTAGGGTAGAGGCCTGGACTCCCCCGTTCCCCGTGCTCCTTTCCTTGAAGGGAGAGCTTGTGGTGAGCCTGGAGGCCGCTGTATGGTTGGACACCTAGACTAATTTTCCTGTGCTGTTGAGGTATATGGAGCAGTTTGAACTTGTATACCAAAGTTGTGCTTACTTTTTTTTTTTTGCAGTCCTGGCAGTGGAACCCAGGGCCTCTGACACGCAAGGCGGGTGTTCGTCCACTGAACCATAGCCCTCACCCTTCATACTTTTTTATTCTGAGACAGGACTTGCTAAGTTGTGCAGGCAGGCCTTGAACTTGGGGACCCTGCCTCAGCCTCCCAAGTAGTTAGGATTAGCTGCATGCACTGCCATGCCCTGCTAGCTCTCTCCTTTGAAGGGTTTGAGGAGAGGCAAGTCACAGGCACAGAGTGGCCCGTTCTGTGCTTGTTGGGGAGGGCACTCAGCCGGGCCTGTCTTCCCCAGAGCAATCCTGGCGAGGTGTGTGCCGCCCTCAGCCTCTGCGAGTCTCTTCAGAGGCACTTGGCGGAGCTGAACCGCCAGAAGCAGCTCGAGGCCAACAGGATCCCAGAGGCTGACCTGCCCGAGGTGGTGGCGCCCTTTATGGCCAACATCCCCCTCCTCCTATACCCTCAGGATGGCCCCCGAAGCCAGCCCCAGCCGAAGGTGAGGGCCCTGGTGGAGTGGGTGGGAGCCAGGCGATGGGACGGTGGTAAGACTGAGTGCTGCGCATGCTGGAGAGGAGGTGGGTGGGGAGGTGTGTGCAAGCCTGCTTTTCCAGAACCAAGGGGTCCCTCGGCCCAACTGCAGGTGCATGACTGCCTTTGGGTTTATTGAACCATACAGCACCCCTCCCACTTTTTTTCTTGAGACAGGGTCTTGCTGTGTAGTCAGGTCAACCTTGAACTTACTATGTAGCCCAGGCTGGCCTCACTTGGTGATCCTCCTGCCTCGGCCGCCCTCGTGCTGGGATTATAGGTGTGCACCACCATGTCTCCATGCAGTTTCTACAGAATGGGAGATTTAAAATACACAAAGACGTCCACCTTTTTTCTCATTTGTTTTGATGCTGGGGTGGATCCCAGTGCCCTGTGTGCGCTGAGTGAGGGCTTCCTCACTGCTGAGCCACCCTCCACTGCAGCGAGCACCCAGTGATTGCAAACTCCTCAGTGCTTCCGAGCCTGTGCTGCCTGCTAGGGGCTACGTAGTCAGTTGCCCCTCACTTGGCACTGGGTAGGGGTCCAGCCTGGTCCTCTTGGCTGCAGCGCTGCCACCTAACTGCCGTTTCCACAGGCCAGCGGAGACGTGTGCCAGGACTGTGTCCAGATGGTGACCGACATCCAGACCGCTGTGAGGACCAACTCCACCTTTGTTCAGGGCTTGGTGGAACATGCCAAGGAGGAGTGTGACCGCCTGGGGCCTGGCTTGGCAGACATGGTAAGCTGTGTCTCCTGTGGCCAGGGAGCTGGGAGTGGGGGGCACTTCCCGTGCTGCTCTTTATCTTTGGTTTTTTGAGACAGGGTCTCACTATGTAGTTCAGGCTTGCCTTGAACTCACTGTGTAGCCCAGGCTGTTCTTGAACTTGGAGTGATCCTCCTGCTTCTGCCTCCTGAGTGCTGGGATTACAGACGTGTGCCACCATACCTGGCATCTTTTATCTTTTTTTTTTTTTTTTTTTTTTGCCTTTTTGAGGCAAGGTCTCACTATGCAGTTCAGGCTGGCCTTGAGCTCATTTTGTAGCCCAGGCTGGTCTTGAACTCACAACGATCCTCCTGCCTCAGCCTCCCAAGTGCTGGGATTACAGGCGTGTGCCACCATGCCTGGTGGAAATATTCTTGATAGTAGTTGGCACTGTGGGAAATGCTGGTTTGGTTTCTTGGGTGTGTGTTGTTGCACTGTTTAATTGACAACCTTTCTCTCCCCCAGTGCAAGAACTATATCAGCCAGTATTCTGAGGTCGCCGTCCAGATGATGATGCATATGGTAGGTGGCCGGGAGCCCGTTGGCCTTCTGGCTCTAAACGTTGTGTACAGGAACGCTGCGCATTTCGTGGTTTAGCTTCCCCTCTCCACTTTGAGCGCACTAAGTCGGACCCAGATGTCCTCCTCTGGTCTGCCCTCTACTCGCAGCCTGGTCCTTGTCCCACCCAGGAAGGCTGGTGCTGGGGCTGTGCTGCTCACGCCCCCTTTGCACACACGCAGTTGCTGTCACATTGTGTGTCCAGCTTTAACTCTGGGGTCTGCAGAAGCAGGCTGCTCTCTAAGCACACCAGGCCAGAAAACGGTGTAGCCTGAGTTCAGAGCAGAGCAGGGGAGGCCTGCCTGGCAGAAGGCAGCTGCTCCAGCCCTCACTCTGCACTGGTGTCTGCTGTCTGCTGCTGCTGGCTGGCAGGAGGCTTGGTTAGCAGTGGGAGAAGCGCTGGTCACAGGAAGGGGCTGGTTCCTCTGTGTCCAGAGCTGGTAGGCGCACCCGGCTGTTCTGCAGCATCCTGGCCCGTGGCAGGCGTTGGTCCCTTAGAGCTAACCTGTGGGGGCGCTTGTGTCCCCTGTTACACTGATTATCCTCACTGACATTGACACACACGCCCAGGTTTGTTCTCTGACACAGAGGCCTCACTGCCCATCACCTGCTTTGAGATAGTTTTTCTGGAATCCAGTGATGCCCGTGTGTGCCCTCAGCATTCAGGTCGATGGAACCCAGACCTTGTGGCCCACAAAGCCTGCCATTTCATTTTTTGTTTCTTATCTTTTTAAGGCAAGGTCTCCCTAAGCAGTTAGGCTGGCCTTGTACTGACTTTGTAGCTTAAGGCTGGCCTCGAACTCACAGTGGTGATCCTCCTGCCTCAGCCTTCTGAGTGCTGGGATTACAGGTGTGCACCCCCACGCCTGGCTAAGCCTGCCATTTCTGGTGGGTCCTTTTGCCCACGGTAGCCGCCCATCCACACAGACGTTTATTGTGGCTCCCACTCTGCCTCGTTGTAAAAACACTAAGAGGCAGTTTACGGGGCATGCACTTGGCGTGCGGCCCAGTAAGCCTTTGATGTGACTTGGCCTCATGAACTAGTGCTTCCTTCTAGCTAACTTCAGTATTTTCTCTGTCTACCTGCAGTGCAGAAATGTTTTGAAAATAGTGATATTTCCAATACCAGAAATCACCTGGGGGTTTCACAGAACATCGGTGGGGCCACATTTTATGTACACGTTGTAGGTTGCATTCAATTGATCAGTAGATACTTTCGCACAGGTGATTTTTACGTGGCTGATACTACTTCACAGTGGGTGGGACATATTTTCTATAACTGCTTCCTTGTGGCCGGAGGGTTAGATTGTTTTCATACTTGTCCTTGAAATGATAAACATTCCTGTAGCCAAGTACTGTGGACATCGCTGTTTTTCCCTCAGCGTTGAATACTTCGGCAGGATGTGCTGCATCTGAGCTTGACACACTGTCAGATCTGCCCTCAGGGCGAGCATTTGCCCATGGGTAGATTGGCCTGAGGCCAGGGACATGCAGCCCTGTGTCCTATGGGGAAGGCTTGGTAGGGTTAACTTCTGGGCCTGGGATTACAGGTGTGCACCCCCACACCTGGCTAAGCCTGCCATTTCTTGGAACCTGCTCTTTCAAGGTTCTGTGGAACCTCGGTGTGCGTGTTCTGGGATGGTAATAGCGTGGGATGGAGGGGACAGCGTGACTAGTGGGAGCAAGGTGGCTTGTGGGTACCAGACTGCCAGAGCCTTTCCCATAACTTCTGTGACGTTCCTGCGCCTGGTTAACTGCTTGACTGTTGTTTTAATTTTTCTTAACTTTTGTGTCCTTTCCTTTCTCTTATTTTCAACTCCGATTTCCTGGTTTTTTGTTCAACAGCAGGACCAGGTATGTGATGGAGAATTTGCTTTTAGTAGTGATACCTGCGGCTTCTAGTTATTTTGCGCTCTCTCCGCTGTCCCCTGTCTGGCGGGTCCACTCTGACCGATACCAGCAATGGTTGCAAGAGGAGGGGTCCCTCCCTTCTGGATACCTTTCCCCTGAGATGCAGCACTTGAGGTGCTGGGCGTCTGAACTCTCCTCCAAGGGGTGGGAAAGTGTGGTAACGGGGACCATTGTGACCCGGAGGCCTGGCTCGCAGGCACCTGTGTCTGTCGCCTTGTGGTGGGCATTGCATGTCTTCAGTGGCTTCTGCTGCATGAGCACATTAGCTGCAGACAGCCAGCATGCACTTCCCCCGTGGTGGATCCAGAGGATTGGAAACACTCTTGATTGTGGCTTCTGGTCCTTTCAGTTTGGGTTCCTTTGGGATCTGCAGGATGCTGGGGAGCTGGTGCCCCTGGGGGGTGTCCTGAGCATTGGCATCTATCTCTAGGATTGGAGTCATAGATGCTCGGAAGGCGATTTAAATCTTGATGGGAGAGGATTTAGATGAGGTGCCTGAATTTTCACCTACGCCTCCTGAGTCTTGGCCTCCTTCAAAAGCTTGCTCTTGGGCTGGGGATATGGTTCAGTGGCACAGCGCCTGCCTGGCAAGCTTGAGGTCCTGAGTTCGTTTCTTGGCACCAAAAAATATAAATAAAATAAAAAGCTTGCTCTGTCTTCAGCCTTATCACCCCTGCCCCTTCTTAAGTTGTGCCAGAGACAGAATTTGCGCTGTGCTTTTCCTCGTCCATCCCTCAGCTGTGTTTAATTTTGGAGGCTTTTTGATGGCTTGAGGTAAGCCATAGCAATAGTTGAGCCCTCCTGCCTTAACAGGCCGAGGCTTTAGCAGCTCTGGTCCTGCTGCCTTCGGCCGTGGTGGGCGGAGCCAGAGCGCAGGCCCCGAGCACTGCACGTGGGTCACATAGTGCACAGGGTCTGTGGACTTGGCTCCTTCAGTGTGAAGGTCAGGGTGTCTGAACCCTGTCCTCTGTGGCTGGCTGGCTGGGTGGTGAGAGGGATCAGTCTGAAGATCTTGTAATTGAAGTGATTCATCCCTTGGAGGATGGGCTCGCGTGTGTACCGTGTGCAGGTGTGAACACAGAATGTGGTGTTTTGAAAAGCCAGCATTTGTCCTGTCTCTGTGCTCTGTCACCGGACATGAGGCCCTTCCATTGAACCTGGAACCCCTGTCAGGCTGGGCTGGGCAAGGGGTCTTGTGGGGCTGCTGAGGGGCAGTGGGTGCGGGCTGTGTCTGATGGTGGCTCTGTGCTCTCTCCAGCAACCCAAGGAGATCTGCGTGCTGGTCGGGTTCTGTGTCGAGGTCAAGGAAGTGCCCATGCAGACTCTGGTCCCCGCCAGAGTGGCCGCCGAGAAGGTCCTCCCTGCCCTGGAGCTGGCAGAGCCCCTCGAGGTACCGGGCGTCCTCACTGTGCTCTGGCTGGGGCTGCGCAGCACCCTGCCCCTTCATGTTGTGTCACATGCTATGAGTCACACACACGCACGCTGTTTTGGGTTCCTGCCTGGCCCTTTTTGTTTTGACTGGGAATTGAGCTCTGGACCTTGCACTTGCCAGGCAGGCGCTGTGCCGCTGAGCTATATCCTTGGCCCCCTGCCTGGCTCTTAAAGGTCTAAGCATTGGAGGCCCCTAGGTACGATATGGGTGCCCTCCATAACTGCGCTGCCCCCACCCTGAGCTGTTGGGAACGTATTTCCTTTCTTTGGTTTCACAGCAGACTGTTCAGGTGTCAGCTCCAGTCTAACCTTTCACAGACTCCTGAATGTCTGCCCTTTGTGGGGCTTGGGCCTGCTGCCCCTGCATGCGCGCGGGTATCCGTGCCATTTCCTAGATCTCCTTCCTTGGGAATGAACCTGCTGCTCCATCCCATAATGAGCTTGCATTCAGCTCTTCAGGCAGTGTTCAAGGGTATGGTGAACAAGTGATGTCCTTGTGCCCCTGGGCCTAGCATCTTGCCTCTGCAGAACCCGGGCCATATGGTGCCTTAGCACATGGCACAGGCGCTTCTTGTTCTAGAATGTCTGAGGCACCTGATCATCTGCTCTCTCCTGTCACCTTCATATGACGGGCTGAAGTGTCAGGTGGAGTGAGAAGGGGCACTGCCTCCTCCCCGAGAGGTTCCTGAGGCCTCAGCCCACCCTGCCTGCCGAGTTCATGGCCAGAAAATGTGGTGGAGAGTCACAGCTTGTGTTATAAATGGAGCACGATTAAAACTTCTGTTCCTTCGTTACCTTCATTAGTTACACCAGCTGCATTTTAAGGCTCGGTAGACACGTGTAGCTGGTGCCTCCGGCCATGAATAGCAGAGGTCAAGGGTACTTGCACTGTCACAGAAAGTTTTGCCTAAAAGTATTGCTCTGTTACAAGTAGGTTCTAGAACAGTAGTCATAAGTGCTAACGGGACTTGGGAAAGTTGAGAGCAGACCCAAAAAGTGTTTATGACTCTGCCTTCTAAGTAGTAGATGTATGCTGACTCTCACTCTGTTCCTGCTCTGCTGTCTGTGAACACAGAGCGACGTGGAAATGGGTCTAACTCAACACCATGTGCGCAGCTCCTCAGGGTGGGGGCGGGGGCGGGTCAGAGGGCAACTGATTCCTCCTGCAGTGTGAATTCCTGGGGTTTTCTTTAGGGGAGGTGGAGCTGGGAGTGGGGTGGGATGGAGAAAAGGGAGGGCCCCCCACCGTGTAGCGAACAGTCGGGCATTGAGGCTGGAAATCTGGAGGGACCCAGTCGGCAGTGGCCCTTGGTGTGATACTAAGGTGCCCCAGGTCCTGTGTCCCCTGCCTCAGGGGAGCAGGACCCGGGGACATGTGTCCCAGCATTAGAACATTCTCTGTCTTCTCAACAGCAGGAGCTGGTCCGGGCCCACGACAACGTTGTATGCAAGGCGTGCGAGTACGTGGTGAAGAAAGTGGTCGAGTTGATTGACAACAATAGCACTGAGGTACACTGCCCTCCTCAGGGGGAGGATTTTGGCTCTTGCTGCTTTTTTGTGGAGCTGGGGATAGAACCCAGAGCCTGGTATGTGCTAGGCAAGTGCTTCACCGCTGAGCTACACTCCCCTCTAGGCTGAGAACGTGCACAGCCCGGTCCTGACTTGTAGAGGGCACTTTGCGCCCATGGGTCCCCATGGGCTAGTGCTGGGCAAGGCTGCCTTTGCCTGTTGCTGTGGTATTTTCTGGGCGAGGAGAAGGCACCGCACTGTTTGCTGGTCTTTCCCACCCCTGCCCAGCCTCCTGTCTTAACAGGACCCTCTTAACGTGTGTTTCAGGAAAAAATCATCCACGCTCTGGATAGTGTGTGCTCGGTGTTGCCCGAGTCCGTGTCAGAGGTGTGCCAGGAGGTGGTGGACACGTACGGCAGCTCCATCGTGTCGCTCCTCCTGCAGGAGGTGAGCCCCGAGCTGGTGTGCGGTGAGCTCCGCCTCTGCATGTCCGGCAAGGGCCGCCTCGGCCAGCCCAGGCTGCCCGTGCTGCGCAGACTGCACGTGCCTCCCGGTGAGTCCAGGGCACCGTGAGGGAGGGGGCACACACACGGGGCACCCTTGGGGTCTGGTAGGACCTTGTCCGTGCTAAGCCTTGTGCCCTGGTGTGTAGCACGCGTAACTCCGCTAAAGGATGGTGGCTTCTGTGAGGTGTGCAAGAAGCTGGTCGGCTACCTGGAGCACAATCTGGAGAAAAACAGCACCAAGCAGGAGATCCTGAGTGCCCTGGAGAAGGGCTGCAGCTTCCTGCCTGACCCCTACCAGAAGCAGGTATAGAGGCTGGGCTGCTTGCTGTGCTACCCGCTTTGGAGGCTGAGGGACAGTGGCTGCTGCTGCCCCAAGGCCTGAGGTCCAGGGTGTTTGCTTCACAGTGACCTCTTCGCTCACAGGGAGCAAAGGGCCTGAGCAGCTGAGGTCAGGCAGGGCATGGGTGGCCTGGAGTGGCAGGGGTGCTGGTAGGAGAGCACCCAGCGCCTGCCTGGCCTATTGTGGCCCCACTGTTCTCAGACACACCCAGATCTGGACATGTGTTTCTGTTTTCCTTGGCAGTGTGATGAGTTTGTGAGCCAGTATGAGCCCTTGTTGGTAGAAATCCTTGTGGAGGTCATGGACCCATCCTTCGTGTGCTTGGTAAGCCTCAGGCCAGTACCTGCCCCCCTGGCACTGTCACTGGGGAGGGCGTACCCTCCCTAGACGGCTCCCGAGAGTGTGGGGAGCCAGGAAGGCGGGGTGCTGGGTCTCTGGGCCTCTGCTGTCTGCAGCAGCCCTGGTGGTCTGGGTGCTTTGATTCCAGATGCTTCTGGAAGCTGTCACTCTCATCTCTGAAAAGGATCAGTTAGGTGGCTCTAAGTCTTCCCCCTTTTCTGGCAATACAGAAAATTGGAGCCTGCCATTCTGCCCGGAAGCCTCTCTTGGGAACTGAGAAGTGTGTGTGGGGCCCCAGCTACTGGTGCCACAACATGGAGACAGCAGCGCAGTGCAACGTGAGTAGGGGTGACCCTGCCCCACCCCCAGTTCAGGGTCATCAGCTTCCACCATGCCTTGAGTAGGCAGGAAACAGGCCTACTCAGGCCTGCCCAGTGACGGCAGAGCTGACTGCACTCTGGTCTGTGGAGTGAAGCAGGTGGCTATTTCTGCTTTCCTGCTCCAGTGCCCTGTGCCAGCGTCGGGTGTGCACGGAGCCCTGGGACTCGCGCAGAGCCAGTCCTCCTGCACGCCCGTGGCTCGCTTGTCCTTGCCGGAGCCCAGCCTGAGTCTTCACCTGGGTTGGGGAGCTTTTCTCCAGTGGCCCAGCCCGGTGTGTCAGCCCTGGCCAGCAGCTCCCTGGTGCCATGGCGGTCCTTGCCTGTGCAGCCCCCAGTTGGGGGTGACGGGTGCTCCTTTCCTGGGTGGGGATTTGGGGCCTGGAAAATGCTGAATGTTACTTAACGTTCCTTTGCGCAACTTTTCCTTCCTTCCTGCGGTTCCTTGTGACCCCATCGGGAGATTAGTCATTGTGGCCACTGCAGGGAGGGCCAGAGAGGCCACACCCTGGCCTCCGTGTCTAGGCCCGCTGCCCGAGGCCTGAGCTGGATCCTGCCCTGGCTGCTGGACAGGTCTGCCCCTGTGCAGCCAAGCAGCTACAGGCCAGGGCTGGTGTGAGTGGTGAAGAGGCCCTGGGCCCTGCTTGTGGGGGTCCATCTGGAGAGTCCCCAAAGCTCTGGCTGCATCTCCCTTTTCAGAGAGGTCATCCTGGGCCCTCACCGTGTGGTGCCAGCAGACCTAGGGGAAGATTCCTGCTCCTGTTTTTCGGTGATGTGTGGTACACTAATGGGCCAGAGAAGCAGTTTGTGAACTGAAGCCTAAACCGGGTTCCCTCTCTCCCACCAGGCTGTGGAACATTGCAAACGTCACGTGTGGAACTAGAGCATCCTTCCTGCGGGAACTGTAGCATCCTTTCCTCCTTGTGTGTCTGGGGTAACAAACACACAGATCTGTATGACTTTGTTACAAACTAGGTTCCTTCCCCTGACCCCCATTTCTCTCCCTCATTGTAGCATTGCTGTCACGTGGTTGGCGCGATAGCTGCTTTCAGTGTCCTTTGTATGCTGGAAGGTTGAGGACACTGGGCCTGAGGTCTCAGCTGTCCTCACATGGCACTGGCTGGGGGAGTTCTCACTGCTTGTTTAGACCTTCTTCCAAGCCCTGAGAGGCAGCTGGGCTCTGGGGTCACCTCCTGTCCTACAGAGGGACTGTCTTCCCTTCCTGCTGCCCGACAAAGGCAGTTTCATATGAAAGATTAGAAGCTCAGAATAATTAGGCTTTGAAAGTAACATAATTCCCAGTATGATGGCACAGAGTTTGGGAGTAGCTGCTGGTGGCTCAGAGGACACTGGTGGGACATTGTCCCAGTGACCCGGGTTCGTTGTCCTGGGTCACCCTTTGAATCTGCTTTCCTGTCTTCTCCTGTGGATGCTTTGTTTGGGGTTCTGGCGTGGGGGGTGGGGTGGGGCGGGGCAATTGCCTGACTGTAACCTGCTGGCTCTAGGCAGGGCCTGCAGGCCTGGCTTTTGTGTGAGGCCTTTGCACGGTGGTGACCACTGTCTGTCTGCTCCTGTGTCTGTGGCTTTCAGGGCCCTGCCTCGTGCTCGGCATGCCCTGGTCCCCCTTCCCTTTCAAATCCATGTGGATGACAAGCTCCTAAGCCTCTGCGTGGTAGAGGGTGACAAGCCGAGGCACCTGCGGGGTGGGTACTGGCCGGATCGTGGCTGCTGCCTGTTTGGCCCCTGAAGCTTCTCTTCCGTTGTTGCTGGGAGGCTGCAAACAAAGCCAGCAAGCCAGCCACTTGCTAGTAAATGGACTTCGTGATTTTCATTTGTTTTGCACTAAAGTTTCTGTGATTTAACAATAAAGTTCTGTTAACCAGATCCAGGCCTGAGTGTTTCATGACAGCTCTGCGCCCACGGGCTGTCTTGGCCAGGAAAGTGAAGCCCTGGGGTGTGGGGGACCCTGGGGGTTCAGGGAACAGCTGAAAGCTAGCACACAGTGGTTTACCAGAGCCAGTGTATTGCTGGGTCCTCATGAGTTAGTTTTCTTTTTAAACAGACCATTCCAGAAACTTTCAGTGAGTACTAGTTCAACAAAACCAAGGGGGAAGTATTGAGGGAATAATTTAAAAAAGAAATACACACCAGCACTCTACATTCAAAACCCAAGGGGATGCCAATCATTTCTCTTTATAAGCTGGGCACATCGGGGAAGCCAGTGAAATGGAGAGTGCTCGCCTGTTGCCATTGGCCTTGGCCGTGTGGATGAAGGGCAGGGGCCACTCGGCCTGCACCTGGACGTCCAGTGGGGAGGTGGCGGGAGCGTGGTGGGATGTGAATTGTGGTGGCTGTGGCGGGCCAGTGTGGGTGCTGCTGGGCTCCTGCTCTGGGGTGGCCGGCTGGGCTTGGGTGGAGTGGGGAGGGAAGGGCCTCCTTGGCCTCTTCAGCTCAGCAGAGCCGGTCCTCAGACTCTTGGGCCCCCAGTGAGCCTCCTTACCATGTCTTTTAAACACTTAGCATTTGTGTTCGATTTTCATAAAAAAATAACAAATCTTATGAAGGTAGAGAGCGGATGCTGATGAGCATCTGGCAGAGTTGAATCTGTCTGAGCAGCCGTGTGGGCCATCAGGGCTGACCCAAGGCTGTCCGTGCAGAGCTGGCCTGAGAGGGCCTGGCCCTGGCAGTCACAGCTCCGTGATCTCCAGGGGGCTCTCCATGATCACGTCTCGGAGCTTGTGCAGGGGCGTGGATTTGGCGGACTCTGTGCGGGCGTTGCGCTCAAATGCGGCGGCCTCTGCAGTGGTCAGCGTCTCCAGTGAGTGGCCCAGGCCCTTCTGGTCGTCCTCGGGCAGGCTGTTGAGGTCGGTGGCCAGCAGTGTGCCTGTGCTGCCGTGCACCACGTGGATCCCGTCTGGCCCCTTGAGCTCCATGGGTGGCTTGTGGCGGAAGCGCAGGCTGCCCTGGCCTGGGCTGTGGTCCCCTGGCTCCTCGTCCAGTTCTGTCTGGATCAGCTGCAAGAGGCCAGGACCTCCCAGTGGCTCAAGAGCCCCCACAGGCTCAGGGCCATGCCCAAGGCCATGCCCGAGAGGCGAGCAGGCGGGTGGCCCCAGAGTCCTACTGGCTGTGCACCTGTTTCCTCCCTACTTCACACAAAGAATGCCCCAGCAGGCCTGCTGGCCTCTGACCCTGCCGCAGGTAACCCTCCCAGGACCACCTTCAGACTGGCTCCGGCGGGGACTCCTAAGGGGCTGCCGTGTGTCCTCGGAAGTACGGGCTTCCTCTGTGAAAATCTTACTTTCGTGTACTCACTTCGCTCTAACAGTCCTATGGCACAACTGTATCTGGGTTTGTAACCAAGCTGGCCATGAGCATGACTGACTGTAGTCATATCTGGGTAAAACATGTCCTCAGGAGAAGTGGAAGGGGACACACAGGATGTGGTTAGAACTCAGCACTTTTGAACCTCTGTCAGGCAGGACAAAAATACAGTGCATACCCAACTGGAATTTTTTTTTTTTTTTTTTGAGATAATTTCTCTAGTAGTTGAGGCTGCCCTCAAACTTGGGGCAATCCTTGTGCCTTAAGCTCTTGAGTGCTGGGATCTCAGCACTTCCCAAATGTCGTTGCTGTAGGCACACACAGGCCTCAATGACCCTGACAGCCAGTTTCTTAGAGTGACCTCAGCCCTCAAAGGTATTTGGGGCTCCTGAAATCTGAGAAGCATGGCCTCTGAGCTACCCTGTCCATGGGAAACCCCTTCCTGGACCCATACTCAGTAGTCCTTGGCCTTGGCTGGAGGGCTCAGAACACCGAGAAGGGTGGCAGGAGAGTGAGAGAGCATCCCCAGGAGTGGGGCACGGCACACAGCTCCCGCCCGCCCGTGGCTACCTCGGAGATGGAAGAGTGGCAGGAGGAGGCTTTTTGCACCATCCGCTGTGCAAAGAGCTTTTTGAGCCGCAGGTAATCCTCCAGGACCACCTTCAGCAGCGAGCCCTGGGGGAGGGAGAGGGTTAACCCCACCAAGGCCAGCAGCTCCACCCCTTGCTCACTCCCGTGGGAGGTGGGTGCACAGGCTTGGGGTCCTAGGGCAGAGGATCTGGAGCCTGGTGACAGCAGCCCGCCGGAGCCCATGTGGGCGAGGAGCCCCAGCCTCCAGGCTGCTGTGGGCTGGTGCCATCTTTAGCTTCAGTGCCCAGGGCTCTAGGCTGTGCCGTGCTGTGCTGGCCTCATCCTGATAGGCCTAGCCAAGTCCCTGCACTCTTGGGAGTGGGGTCCACGTTCAGCCAGGGGCTGGGCACAGCAGCCCCCCCAGGAGGGCTCACCTTGATGGGCCCCTCGCGAATGATCTGGCCTAGCTTGGCAATGTTATCGTACTCCTGGATGGCTGCCCGCAGGTACCGGTCATCATCAGGCTTGACCGCTGCTGGTTCACGCCCAAAGGTTCCCTAGGGAGGAGACATTGGCTGGGGCAGAGCACAACTGCACACACACGCTGGATAGGACCCAGCTCCTTGGCCAGAGGTGGCAAGGAACTGCCCCTCCCTCAACCCTCCCCGACACTGGCCCCGGCCCTGCCCTGGCCCGGCTCACATGGGTGCGGGTGGGGCTGTTCCACAGGTCTGCGATCTCACTCAGGTTCTCAGGCAGGTCGTCCTCGTGCTCGGCCTGGGCCGCCAGCTCCAAGTTCCGGCAGAAGGGATCCAGCCACACAGGGTTGGCTCTGCAGTTGGGGGGCAGGGCATAGAACAGAGTTGGCAAAGAGGGAGAGCCGGAGTGGACCGATGCCCTCAGAACTGGATAGCTCCTTGCCGATGGCATCTGTGGTTGCAACCTCCACTCCAAGACCCTGCTAGAGCCAGGCCATGTGGCAGTCTGGATAGCTTTGGCATGGAGGTTTGACCTTGCCTCAGCTTCCACCCAGTGGCCAAAGTCTGCGCCCCCTTAGAACTGGTGACCCAACGGGTCCGGGAGTCCAGCTCTGCGAGCAGTTTCCCAAGTGGGAGAGAGGGTTGGCCGGGCCACCAGGGGGCACCACATCCCAGGTTTCCCCAGGGCCTGGCGGCTGCTGGGAACTCAAGCGACAAGGCCAGGAGCCCACTCACCCGTCGAAGGAGTACTTGTTGGTGTTGGGCATGTCCATGATGTCGATGAAGCCGCGGTTCCCTGCAGGGAGAAGGGCTGGGGTGTGGAGGGGAAAGGAGGGGTGCAGCCAGCAGGGGCACCTTGCCCTCGCCCCACCCACCACTGCAGCCCACACTCACCTGCTGAACCCGCCACAATGGCTTTGAGCTTCCTCTTGTGTCTGGGGAGAAGCAGAGACAGGCGCTGTGAGGCAGCTGGGCTTGCATCTCAGGCTGGTGGCCCTGCCTGCCTCCACCATTCGGTCCAGGAGCTCAGGCTCAGTCCCTGTCGGGACGGGGCGGGGACACTCACACGGTCCTGTAGTACCAGTTCATGAGGATGAACAGCATGGCCGCCAGGAAGAGGAGGATGGCCAGCACAATGATCGCCATCTGCAGGGTGAGCAGGCCGGGCATCAGCAGGTGGGCTTGGGGGCGGAGCCCAGGCCCCAGGGAGGGCAGTGCCGTGGGTACCTGCAGGGCGGACATGTCGTCAGGCAGCCGGATGGAGATGGCAGGCTGCACGTCCAGGACGTTGTAATTCCGGAAAAGATTCCGCAGCTGTTCCTTGTTCTCATCAATCATCTGGATCACCCTGGATGAGCAGCAGGGCTCAGCTTGCAGCTCAGCCATTGCCTGAGAGCCCCTGGGGGTCAAGCCTGACAATGACTGGTACCTGCTGTCTGCCTGCCTCGACCCCCAGACTTTACCCTCTCCCTGAAGCCATGCAGGAGCCCAGCTCGGACAGTGTGGTAGCTCCATTCAGTCCTCATGGGCGGGCATACCCATTTTACACATGGGGAGAGTAAGGCTCAGAGTGATGCAGATGGTGTCTGGGCCTCCTTGGTGGGTCCCCTACCCAATGCCAAGGACAGCCCCACCCACCGGTCCACATCCAGGATGCGGTTGGTGTCACGGTTCACCACATGGATCAGCAGCTCTGTCTGTGCGAAGTTCACCCGCCCCTTCTTGTCCACATGGAACTAGGAGAGAAGGGACATTTGGGGTGTGGCCACCAGGCCAGGGGTAGGGTGGGAAATGCTTCTTCCTGAGCCCCCAATGCCCTGCCCTGCAGTAGATCTAGCTCTACTCTGTGCTCACTGGGGGCCAAATGTGGTGCCAGTTGGTTCATCCACACACAGATACTATTATCAGCTCCATTTTACAGATGAGGGAGCCGAGGCCCAGAGACCTGGGAGAAGGTCCTCAGAGCCATGCTGTCGAAGCTGAGGAGACACATACCCCTGTTTGTGCCCCTGATCTTGCCACCGTACCCCTCTCCCTGTAGCTTGGCCTTCCTCCTTCCACTGCCCTTAGTTCCCAGGTTGGTCCCCTGGGCCACCTGCACATCATCTGTGTTGACGATGGCACCAGTGATGTTGGATAGCAGGTGGATAAATTCCTCCTCGAAGCCCCGCACGCGGTCGGGGATCTCATTAATGACGATCTTCACGCGCTGGTCGTCCCGCAGGATGTAGATGCCGATAATGGCCGTGTCGTTGTGGCCTGCCAGGTCTCGGGCCACAATGTCCACCACGAAGTAGCCAGGGCTGTAGGCCATGAAGAGGTCAAAGGTGCGCAGGATGCCATCCACACTGCCTGCAGGAGGAGCCCGAGAGTGGGGCACAGCTCAGGGACCACCCAGTCCTCCCTGTACTGCCCGCCAGAAGGGGCAAGGGCCCTTGGGGTGTGGGGACACCAGGGGAGGTGGCACAAATGCCCGAAGGGCTCAGCAGCAGGAAAGGTGACAGGTGAGTGAGA